GAAAACACCTGTTTTCCACCAAGGAAACTTTAGGCATTCTTTAATTATATACCATTAACAAAAGGCAGAGGGAGAAATTATTTTTTGGAATTATAAGCAATTCCATATACTGAAGAACTGAATCTATGCACACATGCATTTTGCAAAATATTACAATATCTGCACAGTGACATGCCTACTTGTCACTCTGTAACCTATCCTTTCTCTTCCACTAACACCCACCATCATCCCAAAGTAAAAATCAATTTCTAAATGAAATAGAATCACGTTGAAGTTGGCAGTACAAGAAATGTGAGAAAAAGATTGCCATCTGGAAAATGAGTATTAATAACTGAAGAACTTCAGGTTCTAACATAAATGAAAGATATTTAAAAGATCTTGACAACATTCTCTTTTCACAAAATTAACTGTATTTTATGGTGTTGAAAAATGCATTGGGAGGCCTCAAACACATTACGAATTTGCTAAAAGTAATTTAGTAGTATTAAAAATTGACAAAGAACATGCTCTTCTCTGGGAAAAAAAATGTGTGAAATTGTGTCATGTTAATTGAACCCCGCTGTGGTAGGCAAGGCACATGCTGATTTGCATGGAGTACGACCAAGAACACACTCTGTCTCTAGAACTGTGGTTTCACTTTAGGATGGATAGGCAAACAGCTGCACTTGGGGGCATTAGTTTTGTTTGATACGTTAAATGGAAAAGTGCTGTTCTATTGCCATTTTCGCTCCTTCTCTGTATTTAGAAATTATGAAGAAAAGAATACTTTTGTTCCCGTCTCTCAGTGCTGTGCCATCCGGCGAGGTAACACAAGAAAACTTCCCCACTACTGCTTGCCCTTTGTTCTGTCTGTAGGACTTAAAGGAGAAAATGTCTCTCAAATCCCCTTAAATTGAGCTACAATGTATGCAGCAATGTATTCCTGCCTAATTGCAGGGCATGATGACTACTGCCGATGCAGCTTTCAGGATCTAATACAACCTTTGTCATTTTTATTCTTCTTCAGAGTCATGGGAACAAGAGTATTAACCAAGTCTCTCCTTGTTTGCCTGCATCATAAGATGTAAAGTTACAGATGAGCTTTTGGCTATGTTTTAGGGTGGGTTATATGAACTGGAGAAGCAAAGGCAGTCAATCTGCAGAGAGGATAATGCAAAGAGAGCAGAGAGGAGCAATGAAGAAATATAATAGGGAGACCTAGGAAATCTGAGGTCCTGGTTCTATTACTCTCTATCCTATGGAGGCATCAACAAAGAAGTCAGATAAATTCTTCCATTGTTACCCTAGGCATCTTTTAGAACAAGTGACACTCAATCCAATTGGTGTATCACGGGAGAAGAAAGAAATCACCTAAACTGGACCTATACTCCATTAGGGAAGGCACCACCTGTAATGGTCTTGGGCACTGGTTTAAGCATGACACAATAATAGGTGCCAAGTAAGTATCTCTTGAAGGAATAAATGATCATTTCATATGTAGGAGTACGTAAGGGTAGAAGTGGTAGGAATGATTTGAAGTGGTATGTGAATTGCCTCTGTTATATCAAGAGGCATATCAAGCACAAATACTTGAAAACATAGAGATAATATAGTGATTAAGAGCATGTGCATTGGAGCCAGACGCAAACTGAATCCCATTTTTTTTTTAATTTTTTTTTCAACGTTTATTTATTTTTGGGACAGAGAGAGACAGAGCATGAACGGGGGAGGGGCAGAGAGAGAGGGAGACACAGAATCGGAAACAGGCTCCAGGCTCTGAGCAATCCGCCCAGAGCCTGACGCGGGGCTCGAACTCACGGACCGCGAGATCGTGACCTGGCTGAAGTCGGACGCTTAACCGACTGCGCCACCCAGGCGCCCCTGAATCCCATTTTTACCATTTGCAAGGATATGATCTTAGAAAGGTAACCTCTCAGTGTCTGGAGTTCCTCATTTATGACATGGAAATAATTAGAGCTTCTACCTCAAATAATCTTTGTGAAGATTACATGAGCTAAAAATTAGTATGTCAGTGCTTAGAACAGTACCTGGTACAAAGTAACCATTCTAGCAGTGTTAACTGTTATTTTTAAAAGTTTCATATCTATTACTAAATATCTAGACAACAGTACTAATCAACAAGTTTTGTATTATTCTTTAATTTTTTTCACGTCTGTTTGTCCTATCTTTCAGAACAATTTTCACAGTGTTGGACAACAAAGAAGACAGAAAAGCATCTCTGAGAACATCATTTTCCAGGTAAGGGACCAAGGCCCAGAGCTAGCAAGAGGGGTTGTACATCTCTCATGGCAGAACCAGACCTAGAATTTATATGGTGCTTCATGTTATTCTGAAACATTGTAACCTAAGGAAAAAAAAAAATTGAAAACGCAGTGTATGTAAAGTGAATACCCATCATTGAGAAGCTAAAATGTTTTAGTATAAGACTTTAATATTTTATTTGTAAGCTCATGTTTGGCAATAGGTGATCAAGAGTTATAGCCCTCAGGAGGTGCCTAGGTGGCTCAGTTGGTTAAGCGTTGGACTTCGGCTCAGGTCACGATCTTGTCGTTCATGAGTTCAAGCCCCATATAGGCTCTGTGCTGACAGCTCAGAGCTGGGAGCTTGCTTTGGATTCTGTGTCTCCTTCTCTCTCTGCCTCTCCCCTGCTCTCTCTCTCTGACATAAATAAATATTAAAATTTTTTTTTGAAAAAAAAAAAAGAGTTTCAGCCCTCAGTAATTTATCGGAGTTTTTGTGAAATAATTTGTTATACACATTAATTATAGAGAAGCCTGATTTTTTTTTGTTATGCAACTTACATAAAATTGATGAAGAATGTTTAGAGTAACATGAAGGTCCTTTTGACATCCCAGACCTAAGGATATAGTTTTTATTAAGAACAAAGAAGCAAGCAAACAAGCAAACAAAAAAAAACCAATTGGTTTTCTACAACCAATTATTGGGTACTCTAAGAAAAAAAATTCCATTATAAAACAATTTTGAGCATTTTTCAAACTAATTATCATTATAATGTAAGCTGTTACTTTTGTGGCCTGGCAGCATTCTCTAATCTGGACAGGTGCTCAGAGGTCAGGCATGTCAGTGTAAATATGCTCGTCCTCAACAGCCACAGCACAGGAGACCGAACTTCTACTGTTCTTTCCTGTTGTCTAAACTGTTAAGCAGTTATAAATCCAAGACATTCATTTAGTTGAGAATAGTGTTTTTTATCACCAATTCTATTTCTCTGTTTTTATAGTGCATATATACCACAAAGTATTTAAATATCATTTTCTTTAACTATATTTTATACCTCAACATATACGTACTTAAGCTTAAAAGTTGGCACTAATCACTAAAGAACAGTTAAGACTTAACCAGGTTTCAAGGAAGTCATTTTAAGATTCCCTAAATTAAAAGAAAAATTTGTCATTTCTTTATGGTTTTGAAATTCTGAAATAGCAAGTTGACCACTGAATGTTTAGATTCTAGCTCATGATAACTTCTTCAGTAGAATATATATGGTCCAGAAAAATGAACCTCAAGTGCCTGGTTATCTCTTCCACAGTATTTTTTTTTTCCAACAAACCTTTCAGTTACGCCACAAATTACTGTAATAACTTGCTGTTATCTTCAGAAATAATACTTTCCTCAAGAAAATATACTGAAAGAGAAGGTATACCTTAACTCAACTGAACTAAACTATAACACATCTCTCCAGAAAGAGATAAAAGTTTTATCTAAAAACATTTTAGTAACCTAAGAATCCTTCATTCTAAAACCTATGAAGAAATTAATTCATGTGACCAATTTAATAGCAATATTTACTTATACAAAGAAAGAAGACTTCTGTTTTACCATTAGAACCATAAAGAAAAACAATAAAAATATGAGAGACGGTAGATACTGGGTTAACTGGAGAAAGAAAGAAAAAAAGAGCTTCTGTTAGGGCAAGCCTCTTGATACGTTCAGTATTATTTTTCAGAAGAGTCTCTTTCAAATTTAGTTTTGAAACCTCCTTCTCAAATACAATATTAATAGGACACTATAGTTGAAGAAAAAGGGGAAAATGCCCTTCAGCTGAATATCAGATGTCTGAGAGTTTGCCCTCCATATCATTCTCCTCTACGCTGAATAGCATTGTTCTGTAGTTGACAATATGATATTATCTAAGCACAAAGAAAAAGTGGGTTGGAGATCACTTTCATATGTATCTCAATATTTGATTTCTATTTTACTCTAATATGAATATGTAGCTGTTTACTTAGGAGTGATTTCCTCAAAACTCTTCCCAGATTACAAATGTTGTACTTCAATGTGTATATAAAGAATATGAATAAAATTTCAACCTTAAATGAGTTTGAAGCTTAAATAGTTTCCAGATATTAGAAGAACTAGTTGGAAGATGAGCTAAGTAAACCTCTTAAAGAATTTTAACCGGGTTCTTTTGGGGGGGGGGGGGAGTGGACATATTAAATGGAAGATACATGTATTTTCTTTTAAGGTTTCTATATTCAATACATAGGTTGATAATTTCTTTCCAGTTGCATCTAATTTTATTAACTATGTAATTTTAAATAATATTTATAAAATGAATTGCATCAAATAGAAAAGAGTGAGTATCATTACTGTCTAGACAGGTAGTTATAGTTTAAATCTCTATAGTTTAAATCTCTAGTCCATCAAGCAATAGACATGGGTTCTGTTTAACAATTTTGCTGCAGAATAATTACAACTTGTTTGTGGAGATCTTTAACAATTATAAAGGATCATCTCCTTGATACCTCAATTTTACTTAAGGGAGAGAAGCTTTAAAATTACCTCAAAATGATAAGATATTTCTGTGTCTCATTTAACTTAATTGAAATACTCTATTTCTTCCACAAGAATAAAATCAGGTGCTTGTTTAATCCTGAAATTCTTAGATTAATTGAAAACAAAGTTGCTATCTCTTACCAAAAGCCCTCATATTATGGGTGAGCCGTTAATGGATAGTGTAAATAAACAGATGCACTTACCTGGAATGAGAGTTGAAAGCGCTGAAAATGCTTGCGAAAGTTTCAATGGAGATAAAGGAAACTGAACAAGCAGCATCCACTACCAACGGCTCAGGCTGTTGGGCTTCACAAGTGGCAACAATACCAGTTCTGGCCCAGTGCTCTTGTGTTATGTAACATCTTATTAATATTAGCCATCAAACTGCTACCAAGCTGGTGAGGCACTAGAGGGCAAGAGTGTCACATGCAAGACCCGTCGCCAAGGGACAGGCTTTGGTACCACTTCGGGAAGACAGATGCTAACTAAGCTGATAAATAAAACGATGCCTGAACGCAACAGCAAACTTGTAATGTTCCTCAAAGAATATTTTAAATGTCAATTTTCTGACTAGCTGTAGAGTTAACAGGTTAATAAATATGCATAAGCAAATAACCACACCATGCAAAACTTTCGGGATTATATTTATAAACCTACAGTCAGTCATCCAGGAGGCTATTTTTTTTTTTTTTCTCATTGTCTAAATACACTTATTTAAAACAGAAGAGGAAAGGCTAATTAAATAAAAACGAGTAAACGGTTTCAGGACCCCTTCAAACCGCGAGAAACTTGTCCGGCTCGAGGGTGCCACCTCCGGAGTCCGCATTGCAAGTCGCCCGGGTCGGGTGTCCGGGCGAGGACCGGACCCCTCAGTCATCTGGCGATTACCTCGGGCTGCAGCCGTCCGCGGGATCCTCCTTCCCGGGGTCCTCGGCCTCGGCGACTCTCCGGGGCGGCCCCGCGGTCCGGGCGGCGTCCGGAGGCTTCGCGGTGGCGGGAGCCGGCCGGGGGGTGGAGGGGGGCGACGCAGACCGCCCTACCCTCGCCCGCCCGGGGGTGGTCTCCGCGGACGCCGCCGGTGGGCGACTCAGGCTGGCCCGGAGCGCAGGCGGCGCGGGGAGGGGAGCGGCTGCGGGGCG